ATAATATAATTTTTTTTATTAAAACATAAATTTTACACTACATTCAGAGCATTTCAGATTCACATTTCATACCAAAATCAGAAGAAAAAATATATTTTGCACGAGGAGCAAGAGATTACATTTAGTGCTTTTATGATATTTCGAAATCTATTGGCTGAAATATATTTATGTACATCCTGCCTATGTATATGCCAATATATACTATATAATATATGCACGTTTTGGACATAATGTAGAATAAATGTATTCAATCTCAAAAGTGAAAAGCATATAATTAATGTAATGTAATAAATATACTATAATATAATGTAATATAATATCCACCTTATTTTTCAACCCAGAGATAAGCTTTTTTTCCTGTGAATGTGCAAGAAACACCATTTTGCATTATCAAGCAGCAAAACAAGATTTTGTACAGCTAAACATATCTGGAAGCAGATGACACCAGAAACTTGACACATAAAATTTCCAAATGGCCACACCCGCTCTTACGAGTATATAATATAATATAATATAATATATAATTTAATGTAATGTAATACAATACAATATAATATAATTTCGTGTTTTTTTTTATTTTTATTAAACATGAATTTTACACTGTTCAAAGCATATCAGGGTCACATTTCACACACATATATTGCATAAAGAGAATCAAGTCTATCTTATATTGTGTATTACTTTCATGATAATTTTTAAAGTCATCATTACCAGCAATTAATTTTATTCTTTTTTTGTCGTTATTTATTTTTCATTATTTTTGTATTTTCTCCCTTATTCTCATTACTGTATTTAATACAATATTTTTGAAATCATCATTACTAATATATCACAGTTTATTTTGCATTGCATTTAATTAAATTTTATGTATTTATTATTTTATTTTTTTTGGAAAGCTGGTATTTCATAATGGCCATTCAGTTAAATAGTACATTGTGTCCCTTGTTTGATGTGTTGTTAGTCCTGCTGCCAAACACATTATCATTAAAAGAGTTTGTGTTATCTCCAGGGAGATTTATAGAGTTACAGAAAGCCTGCAGAGAGAGAGGGCAAGTCTTCTCAAGCAGCTTGATTTGCTAAGGTAAGAAATAACTACAGTAAAAAATAAAGGGGCATGTCTTTGTGTTATCCCAGATTTCACATGTGTTCTGTTTCTTTCCTCCTAGAGAAATAAACAAACACTTACGAGATGAAAGAGACATATGCTATCAAGTAGGTTCTTATGGACGTTGTATTAGACATTGTACTGAATACTGATCCTGCATTTTAACGATTTCAGTGAATTTCAAGTCATTGTTTTCTGTCTTTCAGAAACCAAATACTTCTGCTGCAAAACTCTCATGGAAACCGAGGTCTGAATCAATTACTATGAAGCACTCTGAGCGGAAGCAGTCATTTATAAGGTAAGGTTGTGTGAAAATGCCATCTGTGCACTCAGCGGTACTCAAGATGAAAAGATACAATGAATCTGCAAAATCTAAAAGATCTGACTCTCCTAAGATAAAAGAGCTAGTCATTTTATACGTGAGTTTAATCAAAGCTTATTTGTGAAGACATCAATAAGATGTTTTCTTGTTATTTATGGTTTTTGAGTAATCAAAAAAGGTAGTACTCCATATTGCTGATGTCATTTTGGTGTATAAATAAGCATACATGTGGCTGTTGTCTTCTCCAGCGATGAGGATGAAGAGGTTCTGCCGCAGTCTAAGCGGAAGAACATGATTGGCCAAAATGGGCACAGTATGGACCTGGAGGACATGTTAGATGGACGACCTCCTTCAAAACACCAGCTCCAGAGGATCATCTCCATCGAGGAGGACCATCTTCCTCAACTCCTTCAACAGGGTTATCAGGCCCAGCTCAGAGAATGGAGTGAAGATGAGGAGTTGGAGGAGGGCATGGACCTCCAGATGAGCAATATTTACCCCACAACTAGCACTCCGACCTCTGTTTCACCTCCTCCAGGAGTCGCACCCACACCCACCTCACCCAGGGGACAGCCTGTGGGCAAAGAGACAGTCCAGTCGGTGAGAAAACAGCTTGATTTGGTCTGAACCTCAGACATTTTGTTGAGGTTTCAAAATGAGTACACTCTCAAAATAATGGTTCTTGATTGGCATCAATGAGGAACCTCTAACATCCATGAAACATTTCCATTGCGCAAAAGGTTCTTTATAGTGGAATCAAGTTCTTTACATTATTAAAATGTTCTGCCAACTAAGATCAAAAATCGTTCTTTTAAGAGCTGTTCACTGAAAGGCTTTTGGGGAAGCTAAAATGAATCATTTGGAACTTTAGTATAAAATATAAGCATTTGGGACACATGTATCCTGCTGACTAATGCTTTTTTCCCTCTTTCCTTAATCATGGTGTCTTTTTGTCTTTTTCCAGGAGGAAGGGGCCAGTTCAGGTCCAGATCGTCTGTTTAAGATTGTTCTGGTGGGGAATTCTAGTGTGGGAAAAACATCTCTTCTACGTCGCTTCTGTGACAACTTTTTCCACTCTGGTACATGTGCTACTGTAGGTAAGTAGCCTTCCTTTACATATGTACTAGTGTCTAGGGGTATTTTGGCATTTGTTCACCCAAAATGAAAATTTCCATCATGCTGCTCCAAAGCTATGCCTTTGGGTGTGAGTCCACAGGTTGATCACAATTCGACGCTGTGTTTGGTCTGTTATTTCTCCACATGCTGATGATAGTAACACTGTTAAATGATAGTTAGTCTCACACAACGTTGAGGTTTTGCTGACTTCAGATTTTATTCTTTAACTCAGTGAAGACTATTTCACAACTAAGATACTGAACATTACTATATTCATGCACCACAGTTTGTACATGGTACCTAAAAGTATACCATAGTACAAAAAAACCCCTGTAATACCACAGTACTTTTTGGCCCATTTTGTTAGCAAGAATCTGGGCATACAATTGAAAAGTTAAAAATAAAGTAACATAATGTGTGTCCATTTGCATGGTTCCTATATTTAGCTGGTTTTAAACATTTATCACTAACTTGGTATTGACTAAAACCACAAATCAATTCTGTCTGGCCTTTAGTCAGGGCTTGTATGTGTGGAGCTTCTTCTGGGATGGAAACAAAAGCATGAAAACATTAAATGGCAGACACTTTTTTTCCTCCTTCAGACTGACTTTCATGTCTTGACGTGTGCAGGTATTGACTACAGTGTGAAGACTCTGACGGTGGACAACAGCCAGGTAGCCTTGCAAATGTGGGACACAGCAGGACAGGAAAGGTGAGTGATGTTTTATTAATGTTTCTATTAGATTTCTATTAACAATCTTAATGAATCAAAATCAGTATGCTATCAGAGAACTGAGTGTTGATTTATTGCTTTGTTGCGTTTTCTAACTGCAAAAATAAGTGAATGTTAAAGATGGTTTCATTCTGGGCATTGCAGGTATCGCAGCATCACCAAGCAGTTTTTTCGCAAGGCTGATGGTGTGGTTGTGGTGTATGACATCACTAATGAGCAGACTTTCACAGCAGTGAGACAGTGGCTAGCCAGTGTGCAGGTGAGTGATTCATATCCACTTTCCTTCTGAGTAAATTATAATATTTATACTTATGTACACATACACCTTTGGGAAATTGATAGAAATATTAATTAAATTAGTTTTTAAAATTAGATTTAAACAGGCCTCTTCTGCTTAAATTATAAATACTACCTGCTTCCAACTAGTAATAGTAGTAAGTAGCAATTGGCTAACACACACTTTTATTTCCCTTTTCTATTTATTTTTATTAGTGGTACAAGTGTCATTTTCAACAGGCTTTTATGTAAATTTGCTGTTTGCCAACAAAAAAGGAATTTGTTCCACTCAACATTTTGTTTCAATAGATGATGAAGTTCCTGGGATCAAACTTTTTTTAAATACTTTTATTATTTGTCACTTTTGATCAGTTTAATTCATCCTTGCTGAATAAAAGTATAAATTTTTTGATACATTTATACATATGTATGTTTTAAATTGATCTAAAGTGTAAATAAATTTATAATATACAAACAAAATATCTACTAATTATATTCATCAAGAGATCCTGAAAAAAATGTATCATGGTTTCCACAAAGCTATGAAACAGCACACAGGTTTTCAACATTGATTATAATGAGAAATGTTTCTTGAGCACCAAAAATCAGCATATCTCAATGATTTTTGAAGGTCCATGTTGCACTGATTTTAACTATATTATATA